ACCCTGTACAAGTAAGATCCGAGAGGAGGCTGGGGTGGGTGGGCTTGGGGTGGGTGGACACGCCTGGGCCCACCTCACCTCTCCCAACTCTGTGCAGGGTGGCAGCTCTTGGCCTTGCTGCAGGCATCGTGCTTGTGCTGCTGCTGCTCTGCCTGTACCGTGTGCTCTGCCCACGCAACTATGGGCAGCCTGGCGGTGGGCCCGGGCGGCGGCGACGTGGGGAGCTGCCCTGTGACGACTACGGCTACACACCGCCCGAGACGGAGATTGTGCCCCTAGTGCTGCGCGGGCATCTCATGGTGAGCAAGGGGTGGGAGCCTGGGCTCAGGGCAGGCTGACGTCAGTGCCAGCGCCATGCCTGTGCCTGTACCCGTGGTGCACTCCACAGGACATCGAGTGTCTGGCCAGCGACGGCATGCTGCTGGTGAGCTGTTGCCTGGCAGGCCACATCCGCGTGTGGGACGCTCAGACCGGGGACTGCCTCACACGCATCCCGCGCCCTGGGTAGGTGCAGCCCCCACGCCTGCCCCATCGCCCTGCTCCCCAGGCCGCCCCCACCACACCCCTCCTCACCCCATCCTCCCGGCCCCCCAGCAGGCAGCGCCGGGACAGTGGTGTTGGCAGCGTGTTCGAGGCTCAGGAGAGCTGGGAACGGTTGTCTGACGGCGGGAAGAGTGGTCCTGAGGAGCTGGGGGACAGCCCTCCACTGCGGCACCGCCCCCGGGGCCCTCCACCGCCTTCCCTCTTCGGGGACCAGCCGGACCTCACCTGCTTGATCGACACCAACTTCTCTGCACAGCTGCGGCCCTCAGAGCCTACTCTCCCCGAGCCCCGGCACCGGGCCAGCTGCGGCCGTGCTCGGGACTCCCCGGGCTATGACTTCAGCCGCCTGGTGCAGCGGGTGTACCAGGAAGAGGACTTGGCTCCCGTCCCCACACCAGCCCTGCGCCCTGCCTCACCCGGGCCTGTGCTGCCGCAAGCCCCTGAAGATGAGGGAGGCTCTCCTCCCGAGAAGGGCTCCCCTTCCCTCGCCTGGATCCCCAGTGCAGATGGCTCCGTTTGGAGCCTGGAGCTGCAGGGCAACCTCATCGTGGTGGGGCGGAGCAGTGGCCGACTGGAGGTGGGGGAGGAGCTGGGCTGGGGGGAGGGGACCTGGGCCTTCCCGGCTGGCTGGCAGGCAGGCGCTCACCACCCCTGGCTTTCAGGTGTGGGACGCCATCGAGGGCATGCTCCGCTGCAGCAGCGAGGAGGTCTCCTCAGGCATCACAGCCCTGGTCTTCCTGGACAAGAGGTGAGAGCGGGGACGCAATGCTACAGTTTGGTTCTGCCCGTCTTCCTGGCCCATGGGCTTGGAACTCCTTTTCTGATAGGAGAGGGTAGCCCACCTCGAATGGAGGGGTGGAAACTCCCCAAGTTGTGATGTATGAAGCACCTAGAACTGGGCCTGGCACCCAGAGGACTCCTTAATCCTGTGACAGCAGTTAACGCTGTTCTCCTCTCTCACCTTTTGGAAGTGCAGGTTTCTCTTAGACTACCAGTACTGACCCTTGTTTGTCTTGACTGCATTTTATGGGAAACCTTTTTTATTAAGACTTCTTTCCCACTGATGCACTGTTCTGGGCTATAGGTGTTCTAGGGCTCCAGGTACACTCACTCCTGGGGCTTCTCCACAACTTTGTCATGACTACACCCCCACTCCAAAAAATACTACAAGAAGCCCTCAAACCAAATCCAACAGAAGAATGAACATGACAGTTCAAAACAAGGAATAAAAATACAAAAGGACCAAAAAAAAGGGCAAATATAGGTCACTCGTGCCCAGGGACCTCCCATGCTGACTCTTCCCAGTCTCTGACCACCTGTGGCACCATCTAAGCTAGAGCTGAAACCATTTTTCTTTCTTGGGGTGAAGGGGACCCCCTGCTTTTAACTGGTTCTGCTTGTTGGCAGTTGTCATTGGTGCTGTTGCTAGACGTTTTACACAGGGCTTGGCTGATACCCTCCAGCCGGTCAAGCCCACTGGGTTTCCCACACTAGGAAAGTCTCCCCTGCTGTTTGCTCTTTCTTTTTTTAGGAAAAGCCCAGGTATCTGCCTAAGCATCAAGGTCAAGGTTCCTGGGGACCATGGTCAGGCTCAGACATCAGGGCTTTCTCTATTTGCCTTTCCTAGGTGACGTGGGCCCTTCATGTTTACAGGTAGAGGTTGTAGACATGCATTGCCTTTTGCAGAAGTAAGATTTTGAACTCCGTCTACTTTTATGGCTTTGGGTCCACCGGATAAATAGCCCTGTCTTGGTCTGTCCGTGCCCTAGGAATTCTTGAGCAATGAAGATCTTTGTGGAAAAGAATGAAATGGGTGGGGTCTTGAAGGTCTTTGTGTCACTGAGGTAGTACCTCCTGGAGCTGAGAAACAGCCGCATCCCAGGTGGTTTCCCTCCTCAGAGATCTTTCTTCAACCCCCGTTTGAGCTGGGAACCCTCCATAAGTTTATTTTGGGCTGTTGGGTTTTTTAGTCTTTTATAGTCTTAAGGTTTTTTATAGTCTTAAGTGTCGGGTACCACTTTATACATACTAGCTCTGTGAGCTGGATATTCTTTCTCCATTTCACAGATGAAGAAAGTAAGGCACAGAGAGGTTAATAAGAGTTGCAGCCTGGGACTCTCCAGCCCCAGCATCTATTCCCTCAGTGCCTGTGCTGTTTCTTGACAGGCTATAGTTCCTTTCCGGAACTGGTATGGTCCCTTCTTTGTTGTCACAAGCCCAGTGGATCTGAGTCTGTCAAGCATACTCAGCCCAGAGACTGGGGGCTCTGAGGGAAAGTCACCTGGCAGTGCTTTTGTCTTCCAGGATTGTGGCTGCCCGGCTCAACGGTTCCCTTGATTTCTTCTCCTTGGAGACCCACACAGCCCTCAGCCCACTGCAGTTTCGAGGTTAGAGGGGATGGATGACACACAGGGGCTGCCTGCAAGGTGCCTTCTCAAAGACCCCCTCACTTTGCCTATTGTCACCAGGGACTCCAGGACGGGGCAGTTCCCCCGTCTCCCCCGTGTACAGCAGCAGTGACAGGGTGGCCTGTCGCCTGACCCATACTGTGCCCTGTGCACACCAGAAACCCATTACAGCCCTGAAGGCTGCTGCAGGGCGCCTTGTGACTGGCAGCCAAGACCACACGCTGAGAGTGAGTGTTGGCTGTGGGGATGGGGAAGGTTTTGTGGTTGGTCAGGGAAAGTGCTACAGGTGTCCTAATTGTGTTTTTATTGCAGTAACTGTGGTTTACAACATTGTAGGATTTGGGGATTACATACCTCTTGAGATGCATGTAACAACACTGCCCACTACCCAAAGGACCTTTAATCCTCTATCTTCATATTTCTAGCTTTTTTTTTTTTTTGGCTTTCATTTTCTGTTCCTCCATTTGGCTTCTCTATATTCCATGAGTGAAATCATCCAGTAGTCATGTTTCTCCTGACTTACTTTGCTTGACATTAACTCTGTGGGGGGCCTCCTTGGCCTCGGGGTTAAGTCTTAGCACTATCACCTCCACAGCCTAAGTTCCATCCCAAACCCCTGCCAGGGAAGTGACCCACATGGCACGGCAGACCTCTCCTGTTTCTCCTGCTGCTCACCTCAACAGTGTATTTCCTCAGTCTGCCTGTTCTGCTTCCCCACTTTGTCTCTGATGAATCCTCTCCCTGCTGCACCTCTGGCCTACACCCCAGTTCTTCCATACAAAAATAAAATCCTTAAACCAAAAAACCATGCAGGAGTTATTTCTTGGCCATTGTGTACTTTGGAAAACCCTAGACATCTGAACCTGACATTTGTCTCTATCCCAGGTGTTCCGTCTGGAGGACTCATGTTGCCTCTTCACGCTGCAGGGCCACTCAGGGGCCATCACGACTGTGTACGTTGACCAGGTAAGGGGGTCTCATGGTGGCTGTGAGTGGGTACAGAAGTACCAAGACAGGCCCTTGAAAGCAGAATGAGGATCGCCTACCCACCGGGGCAAGGTTGTCAACAAAGGTATTCCACCAGTGACCCAGCTGTCCTGGGCCTGTTCCCTTAGACCATGGTGCTGGCCAGTGGAGGACAAGATGGGGCCATCTGCCTGTGGGATGTACTGACTGGCAGTCGGGTCAGCCACATGTTTGCTCACCGTGGGGATGTCACTTCTCTCACCTGTACCACCTCCTGCGTCATTAGCAGTGGCCTGGATGACCTCATCAGCATCTGGGATCGCAGCACAGGCATCAGGCTCTACTCTATTCAGCAGGTAGGCAGGTTGGGGACACGGGATTCTTGGTGGTGACTTACGGAAGGGTTTGAGACACTGACACTGTCATGTCATTGCCTTCAGGACCTGGGCTGTGGTGCAAGCTTGGGTGTCATCTCAGACAACTTGCTGGTGACCGGTGGCCAGGGCTGTGTCTCTTTTTGGGACCTAAACTACGGGGACCTGTTACAGACAGTCTACCTGGGGAAGAATAGTGAGGCCCAGCCTGCCCGCCAGATCCTGGTGCTGGAAAATGCTGCCATCGTCTGCAACTTCGGCAGTGAGCTCAGTCTGGTGTATGTGCCCTCAGTGCTGGAGAAGCTGGACTGAGGGTAGCAGTGGCTGTGACTCCCTGGGCTGCTGTGTGGGGCCAATGCACTGGACCTAGACTTTGGGGGGAGGAGCTGAGCCTTCTGGAAGCTGCCTCGTGACTATAATATTAAACTTTTTTTTAATCACCCTTGCCAGGGACCCGTAAGCCATGTGCCTTTTCCCTTAGGAACTTCAGCCTCACTTCCTCCCTGTACCAAACCTCAGCATTTGGAGCCATGTACAGGGGACAGTTACAGGTTGGGGAAAGCGCAGCAGGCCAACTCTATAGAGACCGTAACCATGTCAGAGGGTGATTCCAAAGTCATCCTACCTCAAGCTCATTCGAGGCACAAAGTTGCTAGGGTGTGGTAGGGTTCTAGCTTCCTCCCCTAGGTAGCAATGGACAGACAAAGGCCACAGAACAGGTAAGGTCAGTTTTATTTCTTCAATAGCAAAGGCTGAAAAATGTCAGGTCCCACAAAGGAGCAGAACCTGACCCAAGGCCCGCAATGCATCTCTCACCCCACAGGGGTGCGGGCTGGGCCAGGCAGGGCTGAAGGCAGCAGGAATGGGAGAGATCTAGCCCACCTCAGGTCCTGCTGGTGAACAGGCGGGGAGATGATGTAGTGTAAGACCCAGATAGGCGAAGCCTATTCATGTCTTGTTGAGTGTCCAGAGTGGATCCAGAAGGCTGAGGGGGTCATCAGTAGGCCGGGCAGCCCGCAGACCTTGCCCATTATGGGCCTGCAGAAAGTTCTGCTTGCTCATCCTCTGCTTTCCCCGCAAGGAGTTGTCCAGAGAGAAGGCCTCTGGGGTGAGGGAGGCCAGCAACTCCAAAGAGGAGGAAGGGGGCCCTGAGGTAGGGGCCTCAGGTACCGGCTGCTCCTCCTCAGGCTGGGGGGCCTCAGGCTGGGGTGAAGTGAGAGGCGGTGGAGAGGAAGATGGAAGCTGGGTAGACTCTGGGACGCTGTCTGGTGGCAGGCCTGGGGATTCTGCAGGGCCTGGCAGGCTGGTAGCTGGGGATTCTAAGCCCCCTGGAGGCCGGATGCTGAGCTTGGCAATGGTGGCCTGGATGGAGCTGATGGGCACGTCACCACCAAGGACCAGATCCTGGGAATCCTGAGGAAGGTGATTCTGAGAAGACAGAAGTGGATGAAGAGATGGGCCCAGAAGACTGTGGTGATTCCAGCAGCTTCCGGGCTCCTTCCTCACCTTCTGGCTGATGCCTGTGCCAGCTGAGGGCTTACATGGAGGGGGTACACCATGGCGCTGCAGGACCTGCTCCACGTGTCTCACCACTGCCTCATGGCAGAACTTGAGGTGCAGCTGCAGAGAGGTACATTAGTCAACTGGGAGGCCCTGTCATTGTGAGCAGAGGGCTCCTCCCAGCACCCACCTGCCCTGACCCTCACTTTCTCCTGCAGCATATGTTTCCTCTGCTGTCGCATGCGCCGCACCAGGTGAGGCAGCTCAGGAATTCCATTTCCAGCCTCCACCTCCTGCACAGCCGCATAAAGCAGTGCAAAGGCTCCTGTGCGGCCCACCCCGGAGCTGCAGCAGGAAAAGGGTGTGAGGCTAGAACCCCAGGGAGAGGAACCTCAGGCAGCATCCCACCACCGCCTTACCTGCAGTGCACAATGATGGGTGTGTGCAGAGGCCGCTGGTGCAGGTAATGTGTGTGCACCTCCTGGATGAAGCGTAGGAGGTTGCTGGGGCTGTCTGGCAGGCCTCTGCAGGGGCAGAGCAGGGTCCCTGAGCCAGACCTGACCAGAGGCCCCCTCCACCCCTCCTACCACCACCCAGGGTAGTAGACATACAACTCAGGCCAAGTGGGAAAGTGGAGGTGCACAAGTGAGCGTTTGAGGCTCTGGTCACGGAACTGCAGGCTCAGCACCCGCTCCACGTGGGTCTCAGTGCTGCGGACACTGCTCAGTGCCAGGCTGAGGGCACCATGCACCATGGGCTGGCCCCTCTCAGTGGGGAAGTAGCGTGCCACCTTTTGCTAAGAGGCAAACAGATGGCAGTTAGGTGTGGTTTTCCAGGGTCTTACCTGGGCAAATTGCCCTCGCCCCCAAAAAACCTCCGTCTCACCTTCTCCATCTCAGCTTCAGACACCAGCATGACAATGACTGACACCTTTTGCTCATGTACCATGAGCCAGAAGTCAGCAGCTGTGCCAGGCAGTGGGGCCTGAGTGGCCACCAAGGGTGGGCAGTACGGCGAGAGCCCCTCCACACGGCTGGCGTTGATATAGTCGTCTTTGCCAGAGCGCAGCACCACGCGGTTACTGTCATAGGGCATGATGTCCTGGTGCCGGTTCTTGAGTGAGTAGCAGCGGGCAATGGCGATGGAACGGCCACGGGCGTCCTGTTCCTGTGCCTCTTGTAGCTCTCGCCAGACAATATCCAGAGTTCCAGCATCACCCAACTGGCCCCGAAATGTCTCCAGCTCCTGCTGCAATCGCAGCAGTCTCTCTGGGTGCTCGTAGGGGTCCCGCTCGATCAGACGCAGGGCCTGTGGCCGCCGGCCCTCAGCAGCGTCCACCTTAGTAGGCTGCAGCAGAGGCTGCCCACCCCCAGGAGGCTGAGTACCACCATGTTGGCTTTCAGGGCTGGAGGAGAGCAGATCTGCAGCTGCGGTGCCTCGGCGTGGGGGTGGCTCTGTTGCAGGGGGCCGAGGAGATACTAAGCCAGGCCCTGGTGATGGAGCTGGTGAAGGCACCAGGTGGGGACTAGGGGTGGGCTGGCCACTAGGCGGTGGACCTTGAATGGAAAGAGGGGTGGCCTGGGGGCCCAGGGCCCTAGGGGCAGGACCATAAGCCAGGTTGGGATGGGGTGGTTGGGGTGGTCCAGTGCTAGGAAAAGGCAGCGCCCCTGAGTGGGGGGGCAGAGGATCCTGAGAGGGGCCTGGGTAAAGCTGGGCATGCACAGGGGGGGGTGGTTGTGCCAGGACACCAGGCTGAGGGGCAAAGGGGTAAGGAGTCTGTGCAGGTACAAGTCCTGGAGCCTGGGGTGGGAAGAGGTGTGGATGCTGGAGTGCAAGGGGCTGCTGAGGGGGCTGCGGTCCAAATGCTGTTCGGGTGGGAAGAGGCTGGGGCCCAATCCTTGGGGCTGGGAAACCTGTGGGGATCCCAGGAGAAAAGTGGTGCTGGGTGGGGAGGGGCTGCTTGGCCCCTAGTGGGTAGGAGGTATAGGATGGAGGCAGTGGCTGTGGGGGCACCGTGAAGCAGGCCTGGGGAGGAGCTGGATTTGGTCGAGGTGCTGTGTGGCTGGAGATGGGGGCCTGAATACTATCTACTGTGGTGGTGGCTGGCCGAACCCCCATGGCCAGTTCAGGGCTCAAGAACTGGGGAGGTGGGGCTGAGGGCAGACCTGCAACTGGTGGGGGTGGCCCTGTTCCCCCATAGGGACTGTTTACCACACAGTGCTGGGGAGAGGATCGGGGCACAAGGCCTAGCTCTGGTGTGTAAGCAGGGGTTGAGTAAATAGTAGGGCCAGGTACCATGGCCATTGCAGGGTGTGCTGGGGCTTGGGGGACCCTAGGCTGCAACATTTGGGTGGGTCCTGAATAGGTACCAGGGGGTAAGGGGCCTGAGACATAGTGAGGGCCAGGAGGGAAGTGGAGGGGGGCAGCAGAGCCCAGGAAGGCTTCGGGGGGCCGTGGGCCTGCCACCATGTCGGGGGGCAGGCTGCGCAGCTCCTCAGGCAGGTCGGTCTCCACTCCCTCTCCCTCCTCCCTCCGCGGCAGCAGTGGCTTTGGGGCTGTGGGCCGTGGTGGTGGTTTCTTCTTCAGCTCCCTGTGGTCAAGGGAAGGAAGTAGAGCCCAACCCTCATCAGCCCAGCCCGTGTCTAGACAGTGAGGCACAGCTGTCACACCTACCTGTCCAGGACTTGCTGGCGGGCAGCCTCACGGGCCTGGCAAGTAGACTGTGCCCGTTCTAGGAGAGCGGCCACCTTGCTCTCCAGGTCTGCATAGAAGTCCTTGCCCTCCTGGGACTTCTTCATCAGGTCCTCGTAGGCTTCATAGGAGGCCACAAGGGTCTGTAGCGTAGAATTCCACCTGGCGGGCACAAGGGCCAGAAGGAGGTAAGCAGTGGGAGCTAAGCTTGGGCAGGGCTCTGGGCCAGAGCACAAAGGGAAGCACTAACTTTTGGTCCAGCTCACTGAGCACCCTGCGCACTGCCGCATACTGTACGTTGGCCTCTGTCAGTGCCCGGAGAACATTGTCCTGGGCAGCCAGGTTCTGCTCCAAGTATACCTTCAGCTGGTCATACTTCTTTAGCTGCTCCTCGAACAGCTTCTAAGGGAGTGTGTTGGGCGTAGAGAAAGAACACTTAGGCCTCCCCATGGAGCCAGCGTCAGACCCCTCGATCCGCTCGCCCACCTACCTTCATTTCTGAGTGGTCTGTAGTAACCAGCGAAGCGGTGATGTCATCCTTCTGGATAAGTTCACGTAGCTGCTGCTCCAGGGACACGCGCTGGTCCCGCATTTCCTGCACCTTGGCTAGGATGCGCTTTAGGTTCTGCAACACAGCCTTGTCCTCTGGGGACAGAAGTGTTTAGTGAGGCCGGGGAAAACCCCCAGCTCCATGACTCTCCCTGTGGGCTAAACTTACCTGGGGTGAGGGTTGGTGTGGGCAGGGCAGCCCGGACTTGGTCTAGTGGCCCGCTGAGCAGGCGCAGGTTGCCGACATGAAGATTCATGGCCCGGTGCAGTTCGCTGTTGGTGAAGGAGGCCTTCTCGTGAACTTCCATGTACTTGGACCATTCTCGCCTCACCTCTGCCAGCTCAGCCTTGGAGACTGCTGTGCTGGCCGCCGCCTGGCCTACTGCCTCCTGCAGCTTCTGGTCTAGTAACTCATCCTCCTCCAGCAAGTCCCTGATGTCCTTCAAAGAGGCCTCCACATCCGTGAACACACCTGACAGCACTGGGGGTGTGTACAGGGGAGAGGTGGAGGGCAATTCCTGAGGCAATCAGACCAGCCACCCACTCTGGCTCAGCCCCAGGAGACAGAACTGCCTGTACAGTCATGGTCTGATGCTCATTGAGCAATAGAGAGGCACAGGGTGCAGCAATCCCGAGGGGTGGGTGCTTGTACCTGATGCTTTTGAGAGCTACAATCCCCATCCTTGGTAAACAGGGCATACAGGAGGTGCCAGCAGATGAATTTCATGTTCCCACCCTCTGGCTGCTTGCTGTCCCCCTCGCTCACCCTGCATGGACTGGACAAGGTTCCTGACGGTGTCGGGCCGGACGCTGAGAGCTGCACACTTCTCCATGAGCTGTGGTGGAATGTGGTTGTAGGCATCAAGGTTGTCTACTGTCTCTGGATCCAGCTGCATCGAATCCATGAACTGGCTGCAGGGATGGGGACAACAGGACCCATGGGTGCTGGCTGCTGACTCAACTCACATGGAAAAGGAGCCCACTACGGTGAGCCCCCTACCTTGGAAGCCAGGTCTGAGAATCTGGTCTGGCCCCAGAGAATCTAACTTTGGCTGAAAACAATGACGAAAGGGACATCTTCCTCTCATCTTACACATCCAGATTGAGGCCCAATCTAGGAAACCCCTGTGGAGCAAATGTTTCACTACCACGCTCCCTGTTGCAGGCAGCACTGGGGACCCCTCAGCTGTCTGGTATAGACACATGTGCCCCACCCCCAGTTCTGCACTTACTCTAGCACCTCATTCTTGTCTTCAATTTTGGCCATCATCTCCCGAAGCAGCTTGGCTTTCTCTTCACTGCAGAAGTGACAGAACAGTTGCTGGAAACCTGTGTCCCTTGACACATCCCAACCCCACTTGAGCTAATGATAGGACCAGCCTCTCCTACCTGTACAGTGATGAGGCTTCGTGGGCAGCCATGGGCACCAATTTGGCGAAGATATCAGGGCCTGTAACAGCTGGGTCTGTGGGATTCACTGGCAAGGGTTTCACCAAAGGGGCACCTAGGGAGAGGAGGAAGAAATGAGACTATTATCTGCCTCTGTTCTGTCCTGCTCACATTCCCCCAATCTTTAACCTTTCCCTATTCCTCAGCCTTCTGTCAGCTCCACACCTTTTACAGGCTGAAGGGTGTCCAGTGCTGGGACAGCCTCATGGTAGATGAAGTCATTGTCCTTCTTGGCAGAATTGTACCTGGGGGTCAGAAGAAAGGAATGAAGAATCTTGGGCTGTCTACAGGGATCTAGGATCTAGCCTCCCTAATGTGCTCTGGCACCAGAGGTTTCCTCCCAAAGATGTAGGCAAAGGGCTGAGATCCTCTCTAAGAAGGGATCAAGCAAGGCCACCCAGAGACTCACTTTCCCCCAATGACATCCATTGTGAAGCGAAGTGCATCTTGCACAGTGTCAGGCTGACCCTGTGGGGCAGGATGGGGGAACCTCAGCACCATCCAAGGCCAGCCTTCAACCCCCCACAAGCTCAGACCCTGTACTCTAGGGTTCTGAGGGGCAGCCAGGCTTCCTCAGCTTTACCTTGGCCAACTTGATGGCTTCATTGAGCTTGTCCAGAGCACTCTGGAAATATGCAACCTGTAAGAGGGGAGCAGGCAGAGCCTGGTTCACCCTTTCCTATTGAACCCTGTTCCTCCCACCACTCCTCCAAGCCCTGCCAGGCCTGTGGCAGGACCATGGCTGAGAGATCACCCCCCACATCCTTGGAAGGAAGGGACTGTACCAACATTTCACCAACAAGGATGGAACAAGTGTTGAGTACCCTCTTCAAAGCTCACTCACCCGCTCCCCAAACTTCTGTTGCTCTTCAGCCTGCTTCCCCATGTGCAGCTAGGAAAAAAAAAGATGGTCACTAGTTATCTCCAAACCTATGGACTCAGCCCTGCCCAGACCCAGTGGCCACGGTGTCCTCACATGAGCCACAGCTGCAAAGTAGTAAATCTTCATCTGCACAAGTTTCTTCCAGTCCTTCTGGATCCGGCCTAGCAGTGAAGCAGTGTCAGGGTTCTCCAAGGCCCGGCATGCCTCCTTGTAGTAATCCACCACCTGGGAGCCAGAATGGGGCTATCAGTGGGAGGGGTGGGAGAGCTCAGGAGTAAAGCAAAGAAAGGCCTGCTTTTTGCAACTCAAAAGCCTGTCTACCTGGACACTCACCTGTGCACTAATGCGGGCCACCAGAAAGCTCTTTCTGTTGTCCAACATCGACTTCTCCAGAAGGCACTCCTGAGCTTGGCCCTGATGCAACAAATGCAGGTGTGCTTTTAAGTTCACCTAAAGGCCTTGTCCTTCCCAGCAGGCTGGCCACAGTGCTCACCTCACCACCCTCCTTTGACCTTCCCATTCCAAGAAGCATAGCTTGTGCTTCTGCACTGGGCTTAATCTAGGATCCAGTGCTAAGTCCCTTCCCCTGGATTCCATGTGGCACCCCTCACCAGCATGAGGTTGACATTCAGAGTGAGGATCTGTCGACTCATATCAACGCTGTAGGCATGAGGGAAGTGCTCGCGCAGATAGGCAAAGGCACCTGCTGCACACTGGAAGTGAGTACAGGAAACCTTCATGCCCTGGGAAGGAAAAGTGAGTGGACAGCCAGAGGCTGTGTTAGACAAAATGCCTGTGTTCACGTCACAGAATAGTTTCACTCCAATTCTGCAGGCTGACAAGACTGCACATAACCCCACTTCTACCCTCCTTGGTAATGTTCAGTGACCCACCTGATGCCCCACCTCTCCTTACCTCCTCAGACACCCGCTTGTCCATGGCTCCAAGCATGGAGTGCAGTGCTCCTAGGAAGGCAGAGAATATGTTACCAGGGCTAGCTAGGGGGAGGGGAACTCCTAGCTGCCCACACGAGTGAAGGGTAGGGGGCTGGAGGCCAGTGTTGTTATCCATGATCAGAAAACGGGCCTGAACTGGGAGGCTGGCTTAAGGATCCAAAGTTGGGGCAAACAGGGAGGCTACCACCCACAGTTCTTAATCTTGAAGCCTCAGGATGCTACACAGTATTCTGAACGCCTCAGACTTCTTGAGTCAGGCTGAGGCTGAATCAAGATTGACAGTAGGACCACCTGGGGCCAGTATTGTCCTGCCTGAGGTATTTCAAAGTCAAAAGGTGGGTAGGGGACACTCCAGTCAAAAAAGACATCTCTCCCAGCTGAAGAACCATGTGACTGTCAGCCCAGTAGGGTGGCTCCTCATGACCTAGAAAAGGGTAGCTGGTAGAGCTGTGGGGAAGACAGAGTGGTTAGAGGGGAGACAACTATCAGCTCAGTGCCTTTGTAGCCTGGTGCTGAGATCTTGGGCTGGTAGGGTTGGGTCATGGGGAAGGAGGTATACAGCTCACCAAGGTTGTAGAGAATGCAGGCCTGTTCATACTTGATGTCCTCATGGGCTACAGACTTGCCCGAGAATATTTCAGTCCTGTAGACAGGCCCCCACAGTAAGGGTCAGAGAGAGGGAGAAAGGGGCATCACCACTACTCAGATAGCCCTGATCTATCCCAAGCACCCTCTAAGCTCCCCCTAACCCTGTTTGCTAGCTCTTACCATGTGACAGGAATGGCAGCCTCCTGCCCCAAGCCCATAGGGACCCGACTCTGCAGGTAGTGGAGCTGACCAAGGTACTTGCGGAGGACACTGCAACCTTCAAAGTCCCGTGGAACACGGACAGCATTCTAGAGGATGGATAAGAAAAGCCGCCCTGCCGTCATTTGAGGGAAAGGACAGGCAGGCTTGTCCACTCTCAAATGCCTGGGAGAAGAAAGGCCTCAGAGCTGGGAGACTGCAGAGTCTAAGGAAAGCCAACAGCTGCATCTATCATTCAACAAACCATCCTGTCAGTCAGGGCTGGGGCTGTGAATTAGTTCCACTGTTCTGGAAGGCAGTTTAGAATATAAATTTAAAATTTCATTATACCTTTGGCCTACAGTTCTGTATCTAAAAATACACAGAAAGAGATAAAAGCAATACATATTTATCACAGCATTATTAACAATCAAATGGTGGACAGCATCAAAATTTCCATTAAAAAGGATGGTTTAAGGGTTCTCCCTGGTGGCACAACGGGTTGAAGCACCACATTATGAAGCTCTCCCAAGCCACTGTAGCACGAGTTCAATACCCAGCCAGGAAACTGATCCACATGGCATGGCAGATCTCACCTACCACACTTCTGGCCTGTACCCCAGTTCTGTAAACATAAATAAATCTTTTTTATTAAAAAAAAAGATTGTTTAAGAGACACCCGATTGATTGAGAGAAAATTTTTACACATAATACAACTGATAAAGGACTGATCACACAAATATACAGAGTTCACACTATTCAACAAAAACAATCCAGTCCAAAAATGGGTAGAAGAGGTAAAAAGATACTTCTCCAAAGAGGAAATGCAAATGGCAACCAGGTAGATGAAAAAATGTTCAGCATCACTTATCAGGGAAATGCAAATGAAAACCACAATGAGATACTACATTGCACCAGTGAGAATGACACACATTGAAAAAAACGAAGTGTTGGTGAGGATGTGATGCGTTCCACTGCTGGTGGAGTGCAAACTGGCCCAACCACTATGGAAAACTGCTGAGGTTCCTCAAGCTACTAAAAGTGGAGCTTCCATTTGACCCAGCAATTCTATTCCTAGGAATCTACCCAAAGCACGCAAAAACATTAATTCCAAAAGACACCTGCACCCCTATGTTTACTGCAGTATATAACAGTCAAGATATGGAAACAATTCAGATGTCCAAAAATAGATTAAAAATAAAAAAGAAATTATTAGGCAACCATAAATCAGAGACAGTCTTCAAGGGAGGGGGAGGAAAGGGATCAAAACAGGGCAGAATAGAGTACAAGGGACTATGGTGATGGGAATTTTACGGGGAATACACAATGATGTAAAAGATATAAGTAATAAAAGTATCTTAAATAAATTACTAATGCTATTGACATAACTCTACAGAAACAAAAACTCAAAAGACAAATGGTCTCATGTTAAGATGTCAATGACATATTTACTGTTGAGCAAAGAAAAAAAAACAAAATGTGTCAAGTGGTATAATTAATATTACACATTTAAAGTGATATCAAACTAGGTACAGAGACAATTAAAAATCTAGTTCTGGGCTCTCCCTGGTGGTGCAACTAGTTAAAGCACTGTATTATGAAGCTCTCTGAAGCCACTGCAGCACAAGTTCAATCCCCCACCAGGGAGCTGACCCGCCCTCTAACCCCCCTCAACAGTGTACTTCAGTAGATCTGCCTGTCCTGCTCCCCACTCTGTCTCTGGTGGGTCCTCTTACCCACCATACCTCTGGCCTGTACCCCAGCAGTTCTGTAAGCATAAATAAATAAAATCTTTTTAAAAAATCTATATCTGTGTCAAAATATTAAGTGATTATCCCTGGATAATACTGTCAAGTAATTTTCTTAATAGACATTTAATTCTTCTGTTGTTTATGTATTCTTTATATTGAACACTTCACCTTTTACAGTAAAGCTACTCCCACTTTGAGAGAAAACATAACAAACAAGCCCTCTGCTCAAACAGAAGAGCAGACAGCAGACAGTCTACACTCCAGGAAGCAGGTGCACAAAGGGGATGGGAGAGAAGTTCTGTGGATACCTTCACCTACCAGTGCCCACATCAAGACACTAACAACTGAGGAACCCAGTAGACAGGTTAACCAGCCTCAGAAAAAAGTAACCCTCCAGTACACTCAGTACACTGTCTAAGAAGCTAGGCTCTGAGTTTCTGCCGGGGATGCCCTGTGGGACCTCAAAGTAGGAAGTCCAGCACCAGTCCCACTAAACACCACTTGCTGGAGCATCTTAGGAGATCATCTCCCTTCTGGGCCTCAGACCCCTCTCTGAACAGGAAGAAGCATCCTTGGGCTAAGTCCCTACATGTCCAGCACAAGGATAAGCTGTGTCACAGTCACCTGTCGAGGGCCTTGTCCCATGGCTAGCTCACCTGTCACCTGCTATCTTAGGGGGCCTTATCTCACAGGCTAAGGCTTCTCAAACCTACACATTCTCATCACCCCTCTCTCCATCATAACCCTTGCCATAATCAATGCCATGGGCACTTAACATTTTCCTTTAAGCCAAACCATTTCTTAAATTGGAGCTACATCCATATCTGCAATACTAGGTTTGATGTGCTAGCTACACGTTTTTGTTTTAATACTGAAACATACACAAAATGACAGATTTCTGAAAGTTTTCGTTGCATTTCCTAGTCACCCTTGAGGAACAATAGAAGCTACTCTCTCTCTCCAGGTTATACAGATCCATCCAGCCATTTAATCCAACCTCTTGCCCCAACCTGGCTGTGACACTGATGTACTGCATGTGGGCAATGTGGAATAGGACACAGGGGTCTACAAGCTCTGTTGCTACACCACACCAGCACCCCTAACCCCATACCTGTTGATTTTAACCCAATGATCATAAAGCCAAGAATTTATTCTAAAACTACAACCAGAAAATAACCTCAAGAGACAACTATTCTAGCTCCAGTTTTACAAATGAAGAAACAGGCATACATTAGGGCAAGAGGATTGTTTAAAGCTTCCCAAATTATATCACCTCTCCATTCCCCACTGTAGATCACTGAGTTATAGCAATGGGGTAACTTTACCCTATATGTCAGAATACATTTTCTGTTAAGTCACTGCAAAGTATTAGTATCAAAATTCCTGTAAAGGTCTAGTTACTCTTTTTTCTCTTTGTATATTGTTGAGTCTGGAATTCTTTTTGTCTGGTTATTTTAGTTTCATCTGTGGTTTCAGTGAACAATCTAGTCCAACTCTCACGCTGTTCAATGAATAAGCAAAGCGCCAGGAGTAAAATGCTTCTACAAGTTCTGTCTGGAGGCTCCTGAGTGCTCCTGCAGGTGGCTCCCTTTGCCCACTGTTCTGCACAGGCCGCCTGCCTCTGGGGGTTTTACAGACTGGTGACACTTCCTTGTAGAGTGTGCTATGTGCACACAATGGAGGTCATCCTATAGGTTAAGGTTCTCACTAGTTCTTTAACTTTCAAATAAAATCATTTATCCTTAAATTCCACCTGGGAAGATGGCAGTATAGGAAGCACCAGAAATCTGTCTCTCCACCTAGACAACAACTGCACTGACAGATCTCTCTGATGTAACTATTTTGGAACCCTAAAGGCCTGCGCTTGCAGATGGTAAATTTAGAGAGCAAATTTTCCAGAATTGCAGCAGCTACCTACTCCCTGTCCCCAGCCCTATGCAGGCAACCTTACGTTCCTGAACACTGCACACAGTTTGTGTGGCCAGTTTAGGAAATAAGGACTCTGTCATCCAAACACTGGAGATCGGGTCACTTCATGGCTTCTGACCTCAGAACTGCGAACAGGAGAGCAGACACTGTTGTTCCACCTCCTCCCTATTGCAGTGCCCCTCTGGCCAAGGACATTTAAAGTGACAGCACTTACTGTATATACACATTGTTCTCAATGATGAACACCTGAAACATATTCACTATTATATAATATGATAATGCAATTATTTCAATAGTATATTAACTAAGTGCCTGTGCTTCCCTTTTCCTCATCAGGATCTCCTCTGTTTTTCTCCTCTTCTCTTTTGAGACATCATATTCAAAAGCAACCCCCATATATGGAGAAAGTTAGAAAATCACCATGTATATACAAGAGAAAGAGAGAGGCTCAAAAAGGACCTGTTAAATTCACACCTTAGGCTGATCCTTGGCAGGAGATAGGTTGCACGAATAAAATAACAAATCCTGGGAGAGATTTGATTTCCAGAGTTACCATCATGAATGAAATGGAAATATCAACAAATATAAAGTGTAAGAAGAAATTCTCAAACTGAAATAGTAGCTGAATTGAAAAATTTACTAGAGGTATTCAAAGATAGATTTGAGAAGCTAGGTTAAAAAAAGTCAGTGATCTTAATGATAAGACTATTGAACTTGGCAAATCTAAGAAACAGAAAGAAAAAAACATTGAAGAAAAGTAGCCAAGGCATCCTGGGAGTCTATCTTCACGCTCCTGTAGGTTCCCAGGGCCTATCACGCTGGCCCATTTTCCTATTCCAGCCTCTGCTCCTGGCAAAGGAAAGGCCCTGGGAAACAATGCTGGGGAGCCAGCAGCACCTCCACCTGCCTCGTGCCCACCCCCAGCCACCTCTGGGGGTGGCTCCTGCCCAGAATACCCTGTTAGCCCCTCTACTACGCTCCCCACCGGCTGCTCAGGCCTGGGCAAAGACGGCTCTCTGTGTTCTTCAGACCGACTCTTCTATGGAGCCTATCTGTTCATTACCAAACAGCCCTGAACACTTTTCTGGAATGTTTCTGGCCTCCCAGGTGCCAGGGGTGGCGTGGGGCAGGTTTCTGTCCTCTCACAAGCTCTCTTCCAAACCACCCAATCATGATCCACCTGGCTGGTGGGCTCTCCAAGGACTTGCCCTTCCACATGGCCTACCTCCCAGGAGAGTGCTGTGGCAGCAGGTTCTCCCTTCCTAGGCGGGGTTCTCCTTTAGGCACCCTCCAGTACCCGGCAATCAGCAGGTGCTCATCAAATGGTCATTTCCCCACAATTTTTTATTAGGAAAAATTCCAAATATATAGAAGATGTACTCACTGTTCACTGAAATACCAGCTACAGAAGAATCAACAATGAAAAAGTCTCTGCACTATCAATCTATTATCAGCCACTGAGGCACGAGTTCGATCCCCGGCCAGGGAGCTGACCCACATGGCGCAGCAGACCTCTCCTGACCCACCCGCTGCTCCCCTCAGCAGTGTACTTTGTCCATCTGCCTGTTCTGCTCCCCGCTCTGTCTCCGGTGAATCCTCTCACACCCTGCACCTCTGGCCTATATCCCAGTGATACGCAAAAATTTAAAATAAAAATAGATACAGTACTTAAAATATGAGCCTGGCAGAGAAAGATAGATGATGGAAAACAGGAGATCCAGAAATAGACCTAAATTATATGGAAGAATTTAGCATCTATGTATCAAAACATTAGGAAAAAAGGTATAAAGTTAAAATTTGAGCCTTCCTTCATAAATCATATTTACATAAATGCCGTATGAAAATTTAAGTAAGAATGGGGGTGGAAGGAACAAACAGGGGGTTGGCTGGATAGATAGTGATGGATGGTAAACAGATCTTTGACGGTGGTTTAGGTGTGGTGTCAGGCATCTGAAGAAGTGTGAAGCTGTATTCTTAGATATACAATATCATAAACCAGTGTTACCTCCATATAAAAAAGATGTAAGCAAAAATCAAAACCAAATAAATATAAGAAGAACATCAGTGACAATTTTTATCTTTTGTGGGTAACAAAGGTTTTTCCAGAGGGCTATCAAAGGCAAATACCGTAAAGGGAAAGAAGAGACAGACGTGATTTATAAACAGTTAAATGCAAAACTTGAAGTTTGTATTAAAAACACAACAAATTTTTCTGCCACTAATTTTGCTACTTTCACAGAGGGAAAATACTAAATTAAAGTAAGAACATAGTGTTCCAGGTGATTCTTTCCTACCAAACTAATCCTGTTCAAACCTACATAAAAATACTATCCTCCGGCCCTCCCTGGTGGCGCAGCGGGTTAAAGCACAGCACTGAGAATCTAAAGCCACTTCCGCATGAGTTCAATTCCCGCCTGCTCCGGAGGTGACCACATGGCGTGGCAGACCGCTCCTGACCCGCCCGCTGCTCCCCTCAGCAGTGTACTTCGTTGATCTGCCTGTTCTGTTCCCCACTTTGTCTGTGGTGAAGCCTCTCACCGCCCCTGAGCCTCTGACCTGTACCCCAGTTCTGTATGCACAAATAAATAAATCTTTAAAAAAAAAAAAAAAAATACTATCCTCCTGGCCCTCCCTGGTGGCGCAGCGGGTTAAAGCACTGCACTAAGAAGCTTAAGCCACTTCCGCATGAGTTCGATTCCCGCCTGCCCCGGAGGAGACCACACAGCATGGCAGACCTCTCCTGACCCCCCCCCCCCGCTGTTCCCCTCAGCAGTGTACTTCGTTGATCTGCCTGTTCTGCTCCCCACTCTGTCCCTGGTGAATCCTCTCACCCTCCGCATCTCTGGCCTGTACCCCAGTTCTGTATGAATAAAAAAAAAAAAAAAAAAACTATCCTACCTGTCTGAGCAGCTCCAGTTTCTTTAGTTCTTCATTGTAGGCTTCTGGGTTCTCTCCATAATTCTTCAGGACAAACTAGAGAGAAAGAAAATAATGTAAACCAGGGAGAGAGAAGAGTCTTGGGCTCCCAGGCTTGCTCCTTTGAGGCCTTGGAAATTACCAGTCAAACATCAGAATGTATTCCAGACCCACAACAAGCAGCTCATTCCCTGGACCACCAAGAAATTCTACCTTAAAAAATAGGACAGGGCCTCTCTGGTGGTGCAAGGGGTTAGGTACAGCACTATGAAGCTGTCCACAGCCACTGCAGCACGAGCTCAATCCCCAGCCAGGGAGTTGACCCATGGGTAATGGCAGACCTCTCTCCTATTTCCCCACTGCTCCCCTCAGCAGTGTACTTCGTCCATCTGCCTGTTCTGCTCCCCACTCTGCCTCTGATGAATCCTCTCACCCCCTGCACCTCTGACCTATACTCCAGTTCTTGTATGTACAAATAAATAAATCTTAAACCACAGGGGCGTCCTCCTTTGAGCAAAACTGAAAATAAGATTGGATAATCCTACATGAAACCCCAGCCATTCTCATCATGCTACAAAGTCCAAGATTCAGTCAGCTGAGGAAGCCAAGAATTTAGCTGGTTGGAATGGGATCCTACTGAAGATTCTAACACACGCAAGCATCCCTCAAGAATTAAACCCTGGGACTCCCTGGAGGCTCAGGGATTAAGGTCTAAGTGCTATCAAGCTATCACCAGCCACTGAGGCATGAGTTTGATCCCTGGCCAGGGAGCCGACCCACATGGCTCAGCAGACCTCTCCTGTCTCACACACTGCTCCCCTCAGCAGGGTATCTCAGTAGATCTTTCTGTTCTGCTTCCCACTCTGTGAACCCTCTCACCCTTATCTCTGCCTTAGACCCTAGTTCTTGTATGTATAAAAAGTCTTATTTAAGAATTAGGGCCCTCCCTAGTGGCACAACAGGTTAGGTAGGACGCAAGCACAAATAGCCGCTTCAGTGCTAGTTCAATCCCGGCCCCAAAGGTGACCAACATGGCGCGGCAGACCTCTCCTGACCCGCTGCTGCTCCCCTCAGCAGGGTACTTCTCAATCAGCCTGTTCTGCTCCCCACTCTGTCTCTGGTGAATCCTCTCACCACCCCTGTACTTCTGGCCTGTACCCCAGTTCTGTATGCATAAATAAATAAATCTTTAAAAAAAAGGACAGAAAACTAAGGCAGTTGGACCAATCCCTCTTGCAGTTCCTAGTGCCTACTTCCTAGGTTAGTAATCTGACAAGCCAGAGTCATTCACTACACAAATACTAAGGGTACTGACGTCCAACTCACAAGGCTCCTTATGGATCTGACCAACGTTATAAAGCAGAAAAGGAAGGAGGCTATAAAAGGGGAGATGAGGTGACCTGCTCTGTCCAGAAACACTCTCACATCATGGCCGTGGCCTACCAACCTTCCCCGGATCCCTTCCCAGAATCTAGGACATATGACTAAGGAATTGGCCACATGGTGACCGGGAAGGCTGTGTAACAGCATTTACATGCCCTACCAGGGAAAGGGAGAGGTGGAATAGGCAGCAGAGAGGCTAATTCTGAACTTTTCACAGCACTATTGAGACCCTTTCCCAAACCCAGCCCCAGATCCTATTACTGGTTTGAGCTCCTAAGAGTCCTGTATGTCCATGAGCTCTCTTCTACCTCTCCCCACCAACACCTCTGGTCTGAACAATCCGCTCTTTCAAATACACCCCTTACCTAGTAGCCAAACTTGATGTCACTAATCTTAAATCCTGAAACACACACACAGAGGAAAGTGAGCCAAAGCAAGTTTTTAGGATAGTGATTTATGAAAAATTAATTACAATTTACACAGAAAAATAATCTAAAATCTAAAAAATGAGACCCACAGTGATTTCCCCCAATGCCTCCAGGCCTAAGTCTAATCTCCATAGTCCATGATATGACAAAACCTGCTCTCGACAGCCTTCAAGGATTTTCCCCTGGTCCCCTCCAGGGACACCAGTACACTGCTTTGGAATTACACTCTCATGTTTCAATGCCTGTTCACATGTTGTCCCCACCTTCTCTACCAAGACTCAGAGGAAATGCCACTCCCTGTACATTAGCCACTGCTTCCCCACATCTGAACATCACCCCAGCAGACTGGCTTGCAGCAGGTCATGCTAATACCACCACTTTCCGGTCACGGAATGCAGTGGAGTGGTAGGACCCTTGCTAAATGTGTTGAATAATCAACAAATGGATACCTTTACAGGAAATACAGAGAATAGCTGAGTAAATTATATAATACTAAAACACTCAAAAAAATTCAGAAGATAGGACATTTTACCCAACAATTCATTTAGTCTCTGAAAAATTAAAAAGGAGGGAGGAAGCAAGAGACTATTCCAAATTAAAAGAGACTGAAGGAAAAAAATAATAAAAGACAGTACAGCGAGGAAACAACAAAATACGATATGGAAACTGACTAGATATGGTTTTGGAGGAGGGGGAGTCATAAAAGATGTTATAGGTAAAATTTAAATATAGAAAATTTCTGTAGATGTTCTTAGATAAGATGCAGGAAAATATCCTTACCCTTAGGATATGCTGAGATGTGTACTGGAGAAATGTCACAATGTCTAAAACTTACTTTGAAAGGCTCAAGCATGCATAGATATGATACATATAATCCAGGAACAGAGAAAGAACAAAGATGAAATGTCACCGTCAAAATATGGGTTAGCACTATATTTTTTGTATGTTTGAAATTTGGAAAATAAATTTTTTCAGAGTTCCTGAAGATCTAAATGGTACCTGGAAACCACTCTCTTAATTGCCCTCAAAGTGTCCTTTGAGGATATGACAGAAAGTCAAAACCAAAAATTATATGACTATATAAAAATGTAAAAATTTGCCAATAATTTTAGGCAGTTAAGAGATTGGAAGGTCACTTATAAGCTCTTAGTTAACAATTCTCACTTTGATCTAGTCAAAATCTCTCCTCTATACTCCACATAATTTTTATGTAAATAAACTCTATATATATACAAATATAAAATGTGTCCTGAACTATAAAGTGAAACTTCATTATGGGCCTCCCGGTGGCAAAGGGGTTAAAGTCTTAGCACTATCAAACCATCACCAGCTACTGTAACATGAGTTTGATCCTCAGCCAGGAAGCTGACCCACATGGCACAGACCTCTCCTGACCCACCCACTGCTCCCCTCAGCAGTGCCTGACCTGCTCCTCACCCACTCCTCCCCTTCAGTCAATCTGCCTGACCTGCTTCCCACTGTCTCTGGTTAATCCTCTGCATAAATAAATAAACCTTTAAAAAAAAAAAAGATTATGCATATAGAACTGGGGTACAGGCCAAAGGTGCAAGCGGTGAGAGAATTCAGAGAGACAGAGTGGGGAGCAGAACAGGCAGATCCACAAAGTACACTACAGAGGGGAGAGGTGGGTGGGTAAGGCCATGTAGGTCACCTCTGTGCCCAGGGATCGAACTCATCTGCAGTGGCTGCAGATAGCTCCATAGTGTTTCACTTTAACCCTTTGTGCTACCCAGGAGGGCCCTGCATAAATAATTGTTAGGGGAAAAAAGTTAAAAAAAAAAAAAGTGAGGGCCCTCCCTGGTGGGGCAGCGGGTTAGGGTACAGCACTGAGAAGCTAAAGTCACTTCAGCATAAGTTGGATCCCCACCCTGGAGGTGAACCACATGGTGTGGCAGACCTCTCCTGGGCCACCCACTGCTCCCCTCAGCAGTGTACTTCGTCAGTTGGCCTGTTCTGCTCCCCACTCTGTCTCTGGTGAATTCTTTCACTGCCCCTACACCTCTGGCCTGTACCCCAGTTCTATATATATATATATATATATATATAAATCTTTAGATTAAAAAAAGTGAAACCTGATTATGATTAATGCCCATTTTTCTTTTAGATTGATTTATTTATGTACACAAGAACTGAGGTACAGGCCAGCGGTGCAAGGGGTGAGCAGATTCACCAGAGACAGAGCGGGGAGCAGAACTGACAGACTGACTGAAATACACTGCTGAAGGGAGCAGTAGGTGAGACAAGAGAGGTCTGCTGGGCCATGTGTGTCAGCTCCCTGGCTGGGGATTGAACTCATGCTGCAGTGGTTGCAGAGAGCTTCATAGTGCTGTGATTTAACCTGTTGTGCCACCAGGGAGGCTCTCATTAACTCTTAATTCTTAGAAGCTTATGAGGTATATTATTAATTTCATGGTATAGGTGAGATAAATGCAGACTAGATTAGCTGTGATTCTTGGTAGCTGCTGAAGGTCACTCTGCTATTAATGGAACCTAAGCCAAGTTGTGTCTGATTCCAATGTTTTCTATGCTATATATTCTTTTTTTTTAAGATTTATTTATTTATTTATGCATACAACAACTGGGGTATAGGCCAGAGGTGCAGGGGGAGGGGTGAAAGGATTCACTAGAGACAGAGTGGGGAACAGAACAGGCAGACTGACTGAAATGCATTGCTGAGGGGAGCAGCAGGTGAGACAGGAGAGGTGCAGGGAATCAAAGTCAGACCACAGTGGCTGTGGACAGCTTGACAGTACTGTGCTTTAGCCCCTTGAGCCACCAGGGAAGCCCACTATATGCTCTTTTATTGAACAAGGAATGGCACAGAATTTGTAGGTAGGATACTATCACTGTTATACAAAATGGAAACCAGAGATAATCAACAGCAATGTTAAACTCCAAGTCAGGTTTATTTTTGTGTTACTTTCTCTTGTACCAGAACATTCTCATTATTTGTGTGGTCCACCACCACCCCTCTGGAAGGGTTGTAAAGCTTTTGCTCTCAATTTCATACAGCCATTTTGGAATTTCATGGTACTAATTAAAGCTATAACACAAGGAGAAAAGCAATACAAAGCATCACATCTGTATTACGTTGCTCATTCTACACTCTAAACACATTCTATTTGTTTTCTCCACTTGCAGCTGCAGAGTTGACTCAAATACAGGTAATTCCTAGGGCTGTGCCACACAAACACATATAAAACTGAGTGCCACGTGTAGTATTAA